CTATGCTTGTTACTCCAGGTTTTGGTTATATTTCGCAGAATGACGTTTCATTCTGGTTCCAATCAACACCAGTCCCTGACCAAAGTTGCGGGATATGTCGGAGCACATTTGACTGTTTCAGTAACCCCGAATCATCATCTTGCACCTTTGCCAGTTGTTGCCTCTTTCGGTCCTTCTAGAGATCACCAACTTTTAAGTCTTCAAATTCCATCAAACTACCGATTCCATGCAACTGACTTACTTCAACCAGCTTTTTAAAAACAGGACTCTTCCCAAAACCTCTAGCTCCCTGCGGCTAGTTTGTGTCCGAAAATTGCGTGACCAGTGGCTGTTAGTGAGTGTTTCAAAGTAATTCGACATACATCCCTTACGAAGGCAGGAGCACGCGTAATGTAAAAACGGAATCTTTGACACCATACTCATCGGTTCAATTAAGCCAGGATAATTCTCGGTTTTGGAGCACACCCTCCACTAGGCGACCACCCATAAGATAGAACTTCCAAAATCACCAGGTACCGAAACGCTTGTCTTATTACGATCAGCTGTTTCAAAATCTAACCACAACACACTGGCTTTTAACTTGATATACTCAGACATTTCATTATTGCCAACCCAAAGGAACCTTAAGAGGACTGACGAGGGAAAGGCTAGAAAAGTGTATGGATTTCACAGATGAGCATGAATAGATCAATTTTATTATGAAATTTTACGAGACACTAAAACTATGAGGTTGTCCACAGAGAGATTGTCTTCATTTCATTATCGACAGCATGACATCAGTGTTCAACGCCGATGCATCACTGCCGTACAACCATGATTTATTTGAAAGCCTTACTGTAGAGAAGAGAATAAAAGCGGATGTGGAAGAGAAAGAAGGGAGCGTCAACAGAGGCCTGTTTTCGCTTACCCGCTGCTGTATGCAGCAAGAAAGGCGACCCGGCTGATAGCACCACGCAACAGCCGATGTGGTATGAGAGTATTGTTGGGTCCCAAATCGTTCCATTACACAATAGATTTATCTTGGTTCTACTGATTTGCTAATCGTCTGCAAACAGCATTTGTTCTCTAGCAGGGAATGTGTATCCTCTTGAGAAGTACGTCGTATAGATGACCTTGTGTATTTTCCGCAACGGGTTAGTGAAAATTCCTTGAATGTTTTCAGCGGCAGACGGCGGGTTTGATGGACTTCGTCAGAGATGTTTCACTGCCGTAAAACTATAATTTATTCGAAATACTTGTGAAAAAAAAACAAATAGAAGCGGGTGGAGAAGGGCCTTAGTGTCGGCCTACCATAATCATCCCGATGTGCCTACACCTCCACTGATTCACTCTGGATATAAACTGTTAATAATCCCATTGACATCGATTACCAACCACATCTTGCAGCGTATTCAACCATGCACTGAAAGGATCACGTGAACGCCACTCTGGAAGGCGATTCGCATCGACAGCATCCGGATCCTTCGTAACCTTCTTCATCCCACTCATTCAGGTCACTGCGGATAAACTAAATCGAACCATACTCGTAAAAGTGGCTATTGTAGAAGGACGAGGTAAGAAATGCTTGGGACACAAGCTGTTTTGTGTAACGGTCGATTTTGGATACGAAGACGACAAATCGTTGTCATTGTGGCTTTCCCTCCTAGGAGATAAGTTCACTAATTCTAGGACCGGTAAGTGTCTTTGTCCTAAAGGAGGGGAATGATACTAGGAGGATATGGCGGCTAGGGCAGCATATTCATAACCGACTGATAGGGTTTTGAATCTGTACACTTGCCAAATATCGCTTTTTGTACGCTACAATGTCACGTGTCCTATGGAACCTACTCAGCCGCATCCACAAAAACTTTGAGTTTGACTTTTCAGTTTACTTGGGCTTTACACCTCTACACCCCATCGGTGAAATAACCTAGGGATACCAAAAGTAACTCGCTCAAAGAATGTTCCCTCTTAGGAAAAGACATGAGCCGTCATTTTTGCACTCATCTGGAGAAAGTCCAGCAGTATTTGGGTACTGGCTACATCGTCCTCATTGCTTTCCGAAAAACATGAAGGCTGGCTTCGTGTGACCTTTTTGACTGAATCTGACATTATCGACGGACGGAGTCTGACCTACTTGTTGTCGTTTCACAAGCTATGTGAAACTTTTTCATAAAGAAAACTACTCCCAAGGTTGCTGAAAACTTCTCTTTGTGGAAAGTCGCCACTCGAGCAGGCACTCAATACATGACCATGTGATTGAGGAACGAGTGGCGCCATGTCCTGCCTAAGTGAGGGCAAATCACACCGCTGATAAGCCGCTAATGGCCGTAAGTGTTCAACTACTGGTCAGACAATCACGGGTTCTTCAGATGCGCACTACCGATGACTCCCATTAAGGATGAAACAGCTCTGCACTGCTTTTTGGTGAAATCCCTATGGAAAATGAACAACTCTCCTCACATCAACAATTAACAGTTTAGTCAACTGACCCATATCAGTCAGTGACAGATGCATTGTCACCGTGGTGTGTCGTTGCCTAGGGATTAGAAAGACAGATCGGTGAAACAGTATGGAAATGATATCCTTCCTTCGGGTGGCATGACAGCTAACCATCGAAAGGATATTGCGTCTAAACGATGTTAAATGTTTACAGTGATGTCCAGTGATGGCGTTACCCGTCTGCTCACATCTAAAGACTGTAAAACCTAGCGAGCGTAACATCGTTATCATTATCATTACGAACATGGTCGTAGAGATCATCATTATCATACGGAACAATTTAACTAGTTTTCTTCGAGTTTATTTCGTAAGCCCATAAATAGCACCGCATCTAGCTCAATGATCAGCATCTTGAGGCTGTTGCATCGATGCCGCAGGCAAAACACCGCTACTCAGAAAAACTGTGACTGGATCATGTACCTTAGGCCACTCCGACGGCCGAAGTCATCAAAAAATGGAAAAACTCGCAGGGAAGTGTGGAGTGAACGCTACCACAGAAAGTAGCTGACAGCAATTTAACCTGTCGCATCTAGAACCACAACAGTTAAATTTAGGCAGAAGTATTTCTCATTTTCAGCGGTAATTCGTCAAAATTAGGTTCTATGTTGTCCACTAATCTCTCTAATAAGTTAAGGTTAAGGACAATACAATCCTCAGTGGCCCGGAAATTTTCTTTCGATATAATACTGAAGGCTATATTATCCTGCTGCCAGCAGACGACCCCAAATTGAAAGACATGAGTCCTAGATTACATCACTACGTAACTGAGACCCACTCGCTGATCTTTTACTAACAGATATCTACCGATATCTCCCATTTTTCAGGGCCTGCAAGGCGTAGACAAGGATATTTTCTTTAGTCTGCCATGCATTGTGAATACTAACGGAGTTCGTGGCATTATGCTTCAGCAACTGGACGATGATGAAAAAGAGAAACTGTTCGTCAGTGCGAAGAAGATGGAAGAACTTCTACAAAGTATCGAATGGTAGATGTACAAGATAGAACAACAAATTCAGTTGAATGCTGCGTTTTATTGACTTTTCAATGTACACCGTGCATGATCCAATTGTATCATGTTTCCCGCCGCCTGGAGGAAAAAAATATACACCATTTTGTTTAAATAATCTTCTAATCAAACATTCATGGACTTTGATAACAAAACTAAAGGCAAAGCTGAGCAAACAGTGCACCCTGAGTGGGTCTTAATGAATTAATACTGAAGTATAAAAGACAAAAGAGCACTGAATCACAGTCCGGTAAAATGTGTTTATGCAGCCACTGTCCAGCAGAATGGCTTGTTTGATGGAGACTCAAAGTTCAAGACTGGTAAATGTATCCTGAACGCCTGAAGTGTCTGAAATGCGACCACCGATTAGGGTTCAACAGCTACTTTGGAAAAGTCTGATGCTTTTGGTTAGATAGGTTTAGCCAATTCAGAGCAGCGTAGTCTGAAACATTCAACTTGGATAAGTCATCATCGATAGCACGACATCAGTGTTCAGCACTGATGCTTCACTACTTTACAGTTGTGCGGCTACGGGGTCATGACAGGCAATGGGTCATCGTGAACCAATGTTGTTGATCCAACTGAAGGGGTATTCCGCCATACTTCGTTGTTGGTCTGTTCGCCGGGCTTGGGATTTGGATTGCAAATGTTTCATCACCAATGGAGGCGACATCGTCACTTAAACCCACACTGACAACCTCGCCTCAACCTCCAAGCCACCCCCACCTGAGCTACCCGCATTCCACAACATTCTGCTACAATGTCAAGGTGGCAAGCAGAATAATGAAACGCGGAAGAGAATAAGATGAGCCACACAGATTAAGTCTTGTCTTATACCGATCACGTCGTCACTTTTGGTGGGAACCTTCGAACGAACAAGGAAATTGTGCAGCGTAATGTGAACTGTGCTCGACATAAATATCCGTGATTAAAACAGTCACTATTCGCAGAAGACGCATGATGAAGCCTCTCGTGCGCCAAAGACATCCTAGGTTTACTACTTCTGGATATTTTTGCCAATTTGTGCGATACACAAAGTACGCAGATTTTTGACTCGTTACGAACCTAGGGTACACAGCGCAAAAACGCATTACCAATCCGCTGAATAACTTCATCCACTCGATCTTTTGGGAATCGCACGGGCACATCCCAAATCTACCAATCAGGATAAAGTGAGAATATAGATGTACCCTTCCAGATAAATAGAAAAAACAAAACATAAAACTAAAAAAGTTTTCCATGGTTGCCTATTGCGAAATGGATCGCCGGTAACAGTATGTGTGGCAACTACTGTGAAGAACCAAAAGACCTTACGGGAAAAGGGTGCCGAATAAACCCACTGTTTGGTCAAATACCAGCATAACCAGAGTGCCACCCTGAGAGCAACCGCCGTTAATATCGCTTCAAAAAACCTATCTAACTCAGCCAACCACAATTTTTGCATTCCATTCAGATGCCAGATGGATGTAAGCAACATAACTACCATCTAAAAATTACTAAGTATTATGTTCTGCCATATTTTGCTGATTGTTTCAAGTATGTCAGATGACAGACAGGAAAACCTCATCACGTACGTAAGGTTTGTAAAAAGCAACACATGTACCAGGTAATACCAAGAACAACAGGTTAACAGAACGAAACTATCGTGATCTACTCATCCGCAATCTCTAGTCAAAAAAATCTCTAGGTCAAAAAATGTGATGGTTACAATTGTACCCATACAAGCGGTAAAAAGTCTAATGCTATTGGTCCCCACCACGCAGGAAAAATAATTCAGCAATGCATAAGCAATAAGTCCTTACGAGTCGATAGCTCGACGTTTATCCGTTAGGTTTCGCACTTCCTTCTCTCGTCGTTTGATAGAATGAACCATCTTCTTGTATGCATTTCGATGCTTCTTCGGCAGCAGCATTTCACGTAGTTTTCTCTCAGCATTGGCTTCGGCCTGTTCCTTCATGCGTTTACTTTCCTTGCTCTCCAATCGTCCCGGCGTCACGATTGGTTCTTCGCCTATGAAACCGTACACGTAAATAAACATAGATGAGTTTTAAACAGCGTCACTTGACCACACAATGATCTCATGTATATGATTAAACAAGTAACAGCTTATGAAAACAATCGTGAGTGTCAAATACGTGGGTTGGTGTTAACGTGAACCACAGTTTCGTTCACCGATGATTTGGGGAGGTGAGGTAGATAACTGGGCAGGGAACTGGCGGGAGCTGATTGAATTGATGCTAAGTGAGAGGGGATCTGGAAGGGAGCTATGCATTGAAGGCAATAGTTTGGAAGTCACCATCAAACCACTGATGGAAAAAAGGGTTGTATGGATGCCAACATAGATTCAAAAGTCGTGTGAGATGCAAAATCTAGGGATGCGTGGCTCAGTAGTAGTAGGGGACTCATAGCTCGTGATCGGTTTTCAGGCAACAATTAGATGATCCGAAGGGCGCTATCGTGGTATGGTACGACTTGTTTTGACATAAAAGCACTTGAACTGATCTTCCTAAATCCACGGAAAAGTTCGTTCAGAGGTTCTACGAAAAACCCAACTCGATCGACCCAACAGCGCAAACAATAGTCAAACAAAGCATGCTTCGATACATCAAGTATAGTTCCGAGGCTGCAAAAACAAGCCCAATAACGGTGGGTTATACACTTGTGAAAACCTTGAAGTGGACAATTCCGGAAGCGAAGGGAACGTTGGATATACTGATCAAGACCAATGTTAAATAGGAGACTTGCGGCAAACGTTGCGACAAACACGCGTGCACGTACATCAGGAACGATAGTACCACAGCCATACTGCCACAACTAAAACAGACTTTATGGGAACGTAGTACTATAGCGAAAATGCAATGAACAAATATGTCAAAACCACATCAATCCATCAACTATAGCCGGGTACAAGTCAGTATAAGGTGCTGATCATCCACCAACGACACAATATTTTGTTTACAAAGGAATACTTAGATACTGGGCAACGAACAATAACTTGAAAAACTAATTGCGTACCTTTGGCTGGTTTTCGTAATTTACTGTTAGCTTTCTCCTTCTTTTTGTGACTTCCGAATGAGTTGTCTGTATTATCCAAAGCAGAATGTACATCATCAAGCTCCATCTGGTGCTCATCAACGGTCGCGTTAGGTTCCATTGAAGCCTGAATCGTAGGACCACGCAACTTCGCTAAGCTAACCAATCCAGCCAAATAATCTGCCTCCGGTGGTCGGTACAGCGAAGCTCCATCACCGAAGCCGGGTGCAACGCCAACGAGACCTCCACGTTGGCTCACTGACCCTTCACCGATTTCGCCCAGAATTTCAGTGAGTCCCGAGCCAGCTGCAAATGGACTTAAATGGGGCGGCAAACTTGAACCTGGAAGGTAATCTTGAGCCGGTAACAATCGACCCGCGTTCAGGCTATCGAACACCCATTGTGGCTGGACGTAATATCTAAAGGTTTGGGGAATTACAAAGGAAATGCAACGCTTAAATACGATTAAGAACAACAGCATGGCAATGACGGCAAGTAGATAAAACTTCTTAAGGAAGGCATCAGTCATATCCCAAGTGGTAAGAGCGCGAATTTACTGACCGGAAGGTCCGTGGTTCGAACCCGACTTCTGCCTCTCGACTTCCCCTGTCTAGATTTGGGTAACCTGGAAGTATCCAAGCCCTCGTGCCTCCGTCGTGCGGCATGGCAGCTAGGCACCGGGAGGGTGCTACAGCTGGACGATGGGATGTGGGAGTCTTTACTTCAATCGATTTAAACAACCGCGCTTGAATAAGGTGCACGTTCACCACAGAATTTCGTAGCGCCAATACTACAGGCGTTAAAAGATGCTGTTCGAAGTTGAACAAAGTACTCGCTTTGATCGCCCAATCAAAGACCTTAATAATCAGTAATGCCGAATATTGTCGGAACCGATGAAGCTATTGCAGAGCCTGTTTTCCATATAAATGTCACACAATCAATTAGAATGAACAAACGCCAACGCTCAGTCCTAATATCTTCCTTATCGTGGACTCCCATAGATTGGGCACCCCACGTACCCAGTTCACTTAGCGTTCAGTTGTTCTTCCAAGCTAATGGTGACTACCGGGATCAAACAATTGTTCAGTGCTACAGATAAGAGCTGGTGATAACCGACAGTAGGACAGGATTTTCAGTAACAGCATCGTGGGAACGAAAACAGACAGCTTGAGGAACCCGGGATAAATGAGCCAGTTTATCCTCACGAACACCAAAAGACTTCAGTTTGTGATGCAATGACCCCTGCAGTGAATCTGACAATGCCACTAATAAAAAACGTGCATGACTTGGGCCTGTATTGTCCAAGAAATCAATGAGAAACAAGCGAAAGGCATAGATAAAATACTAGTGAACACACGCTAAGAAAATATAACAGTCTTTATGGTCGCTCACCGTGTAACCTTCATTTCCGACATCGGGCGATCTACAACCTGGTAGTCGATGCTTGGATCTTCTTCAGTGAATGTGGATGCAGGACCGACAGTTTTGTCCCAAGAACATTCGCCACCACAGGATCTGACGATCAAGCATATCACCTCTCTTGGAACTTCCCGCATGAGAAAGATCCGTTTACCATCAAAAAGCTTCCGGATTCGCTGAACCTCCAGTTGTTTGTTGACTGCCTTAGCAACTTGATCATCGATCGCCTTTAAAAAAAATCAGCAGCCATCCAGTGAGACAGTAGTGACGATTCGTTGAAAAGATACCAGACTGTTGTACAGAAGACATTTCATAAGTGTCGCCAAAAATGAGCCCTAAGTTCCTTTGGAGTAAAAAACAGCTTGAACAAAACATATGTAGTGGTGGGCTCCAGATGTGTACAGCGCAACTTCATACGATGACTGCAAAATGGGATAAGACTACGGCTGCTAACCTGTTCCGATGATCAAATTCACAATTTTGCTGTACCAATAACTAACGGACAACCGTATCATTTCTAATGTGTTCGTTTACAAAACGTCATCTCAATGACAGCAGTAACGTGGTAGTATACACTGGTGCGCACCACTATTCGGTAGTGGTCTGGTTGACGGAATAGGTGGGATGGAAAAAATGGGGGGAAGGTTAAGAATAATGTGCCAAAACTATCACAGCACAGTGAACCACATGCACTATAGGCATCCGGTTGCCATAAGCCACTTTGCCTATGGCTTTCACAGATCCAGAGATACTCAGAATCTCATCCAGTAAAATGCACTAGTCCACAGAAAACCCCCAAGTAGAACAAACCATCGAAAGCATGGCCTATTTAACAGTGGTCGAAACAGAGAGTAGGCAGAAAGTGACTGTTCCCATGTCTTACAGGCAGTTTGTAGTAGAAGAGGAAATCACGGTTTTCCACCGACCTCAAATCTCATGATCTGCTCATCCCTTCTACCGGGAAAACACAGTTAACGATGGTTTCAGCTTGTTGTTCAGGAGTAACATAATGATACTGATGGCTATGCTGGAGGAACAAACGATAAACTCTATTAACAGAATGGCCATCAATTATCTTTTACTTGGGCACAACATAAAACAGGATCCAGTGGCTTGTTTGACACCGATCCAACCGATTCCTGTGTACCTCAGGTAACCCCACCCTCTGAGAGTACTCCTGGTGATTCATGGACCGCGACAGGCACCCGTTCTGGATGCCGCATTCAATGGCCTCAGACTGATACCCGCCTGAACTGTTCGACGCTGCCTTGCATGTCCGTTATTCGTAGTATTCCATTCTTTCTGCTACCTTAACTCAAGGTCTTCTGTCTTATATGTCCCATTTAGGTGGTCGCATTGTTGCTTACGAACTGTACAGATATCTTCTCAATGTTCACTTCTCGAATTTCCCACATTCCAGTAACCTTTACTTGTCATTCTGCGTACCAGGAAGGATCCAGGCTGGTGTTCCCAAATTTGTTCTGTTGACACGGTGGGTCCGTTATCAACCCATTCGGATACTCACTCTCCTTTGCAGTTATTTGTGCGCCTAGAGACAGTCAAGCAGGAGAGACATCATAGTAGCACCGTATCATATGGAGAAACGGAATATTCCGTCAATGTTTTCAGGTCGACTGGCTGCGCGCGGCCGGTCTGTCCGTCCGATGTAAACAACTAAATCGGCCAATTAATTTGACATCGGCCGTGGTGCCGTAACCAAGGCTTCCAGGGCATGACCTCGGGTTCTTGTCTTCTCGAACCCCCACCATATGACTATTGCAGACAGTGAACACTTTGCCTTGAACACTCTCTCGCCACCGACTTTTGCCATCAAATCTTACTGAATGCCGTTTCACTTCATCTAGCTTAATGTCAAGAAGAAACTCAAATGTAAAGTGGTATGCAGGTCCGTGCACCTCCACAACCAATTGAACTACACTGAGGGTTGTCCATGTGGCACCTGCAGTGTCTCTCATACTAGGTTCGTCAATGGGTAAAGGTCTGGCTAACACGGTTTCCTGGTCCTCTAGCTTGGGGGTTGGGACATGTGTGGAGAGCTGCCTCTAAATGTAGACTGCTCTGGTGACTTTACGTCAACCACTGCTGCCTTAATGTTAGGCTTTTGAGCGAACGTCTTCTGTTAAAGACCCTAATCGTCCTCCTGTATGGGTCTGGGAGTCCTAACAGTATTCAAATTCAAGTACAGCCATAAACTGCAAAACTTACAAATGATTTCATGTCACATCGGCCGTCGTGTGGTGCCGTCAGAATAGTCGGCTTACTTGCCGCGCATAGCAGGGGAGGTAAGCGAAAACAGCCAACTAATGAAGCCTCCCTCCTTTCACTTCCACATATTCGCTATTCCTTTCCCATTTCTAGCGGCATCTCCATAGGCCCCTTCTTAAGGAGTCACAGAGCTGCCCGTTGCCTAAAGTGGATTGAAAGACATCACTGGTTCTCAAAGGATGCATATATCAGACTACGGTGCGGGCTGCATTGTTGCACGGCTGCGAGACTTGGCCTATTCTGGCGGAGGACCTGAGATGTTGCATCTTCTATCACCGATGTCTCGGAACTATGACTGCAACCAACAAATTGGTAATGAGGTGATCAGGAAGCACGTTTCTGACGAATCAGACGGGTGCCTTCGAATCCCTTCACGCTTTGTTTCAGTATGTTCTGTTCGCAACGCACACTGTGAAACTCGGTTCAGTTCAGGCCAGTTTGACAACCATTAACCGTGTACGCATGTACGGTGTTTTGGGTCGCCGCAGCTTATGGCAAATGATAGAGTGGAAAAAAGGAAAAACGAAAGGGAAAAAGGCCGCAGACTAAGGACAAGAGAATAGGCGGAACAGAGCCAATGTTTGCGTGACACATATGTAATGCCTCGAAAGCACCTATGGTTAAGAATAAACAATTTTCTCTCGTATTCAACGCACACCTGTTAGGCTTCTGAAACCCAAAGCAATACTGCACGAACTGCTATGTTGCAGGCTCCACCTTTCATCGACAGGCCAGTGGCATAGGCTGAGGGAAAGCAGAATGAACCTTAGTGACTAGCGTTCACTTCGTCATCAGTGCTGTCGTCCGACACGATGAAACTATCCAGGAGAATGAGCGTGTTCTCCATCTCTAGTGAATCTGATTCCAATTGAAAATAATATTGGTAGCCCAGATTGCAATGATGGCCGTTTGATTGCTGAGCTAGGCAAGTTAGTTACGAACGTTCCGTCACCAGTCGCATTGTCACACTGTCTTCGGTCTCAGTCGGTTAGCCTATCCGTTTGCCAGCTTTAAACCAGCGGCTACAGTTTCGTTCACCGGAAAACGGGAGAACGTGGGGGATACAGCCACGCGTTGGAGACAAAGACATGATCAGTCAATCCGGGAAATCGAGCAGCTATGCATTGGACAATAGCTTTGATGCACAAGTGCCACTGACCGTGTGATTGGGATGTGTCTGGCAGTATCGTTTACCATTGGTGAGTTGGTCCCAGGGAGGCAGTTGCCGACTCGACTTAGTTTACTGGTGAACGCCTTCATACTTCGCTACCAGGCCTACTCCGTTCATCACTCGGTGGGTTCCGCTCATCAAATTGCTTGATAGAAAGAGTTCGGTGAGGCAGACGGTCCTCTGATATGTGGAGTACTTGTCCTAAAGAGCATAACATACAAAGCGTGAGTAACTCATTCATCGAGAGGACGAGGTGGCTCAGTAATAAGAGCGTGAATTTACTGACCGGAAGGTTCGTGGTTCGAACCCGACCTCCGCCTCTCGGTTTCCATGCTTGGGCAACCTGGAAGTATCCCAGCCTTCGTGCTTCCTTCTGGTGGTACGGCAGCTAGGCACCAAACAGCTGAATGATTATAATGATGATGAACTCATCCATCGTAAGAAAATTCCATTTTCCTAAGACCCTCAGAAGCACCTCAATATTGCTAATCCGACGTTTCCACCAGGAACCCGCCATCTTCATTATCCTTATCTTCATCAGGGACATTAACACCAATGTTGACACTGATACTTCACTGTCGTACAACCATGTTTACCTACTTATACTTAAAGTCCTAAAGCAAAAACAGTAGAGAAAATTGGGTGAGGGAGGGGATCTGAGGCTGGCCTATCGCAAGCATTCTGAGGGGCCTAAGCCTCCAAGTACTCAATCAGACAATCAGGAAGGAAACTGAAAGCACGAGCGCCACTGACGCCGACCAGCTCCATTCCACAACGAAGCGTGGGAGGGATCGCGGGGGTCCCATACTGGAAAGCGGACCGCACCAACGACACACAAACTCTTCGTAATCTCTTCCAGCCCTTCTGCCAAGCCATAGGTTGTCTATCTCGCAATTTGCGCCATTCTGCAGGAGGCGCAGAGGACAAGACTAGTTTCGGCAGACGGCGTTTAAACATGCGCAGCATATGGCCGAGCCATTGCAATGATGATGCTGGATGCTTTTCGTTATCGAAGTACCTGCTGCACAACCACATAACCGTTTTCTAATTACCTCCTTACATTGACGCCACTCAAAACCAGCTTGAGGCATCAGTGGTCAAAGAACTCAAGACGCCTCACATCAGCAAGCAGAGGCCATGTCCTACAACCACACAACGACGCGACCCTTAAGGTCTGATGATAAGCCGTTCTGATGAAAGACTTGACTCGGGCCACTGAGATTCGTGCAATGACTCCCGTGCACACTTCGGTCAGAGCTAAACTACCAAGGTATGTAAAGTTCTTGACATCATCCAGTGATTCTCACTGAATTGTAAGAGGTATGCTGAGGTTAAACGTCCTGAGGCATGGCCTTGTATTTTGAAGGTGCTAGGCGCATGCTAAAAGATGGTGACGGTAGTCAGCCCATCCAACAGGGCTTGTGTTGCACCTCCGTCTTCAAAGATGAGGGCGATCTCGTCTGCGTACTCCAAATCGACAAGGTTCTCACCAGCGAGATTTAAACACTGGGGTTTTAAAAGGAACTCCAGCGCCCGCTTCATCATTTCACCGACGGCGAAGTTGAATAGGAAAGCAGAGAGCAGACACCCTTGTCGAACAGTACTTTTTGTAGGGAAGCTTTTGGAAAGCTCGCCATACATTCGTACATGCCCAGAAGTGTGTAATATAAGGATCAGATTATGTTCACAAACTTCTGGGGCATACCCTGTTGATCAAGTGGTTAATAGAGATTATGTTCACAAAGAATCGAAAGCACCCTTGAATTCAAGGAACACTACGATTGTGGGTCGTCCGGACATTTGGAGCTGTCCTGACACCTGAGGGGGTGTAAAGATGGGGTCGAAATTCTGCTTGATACTCACGGGTCGATAATTCGCGTGCCACCGTAAGATGACGAGGAATAAGTGACTCCAGAAGCATTGTTACAACAGGATTCAAGCTGAAAGCTCTATGGTTGCTGCGTGCATTGCTAGTAACCTTTTTGAAAATAGGCACTATTATCGCCTCACAATTTGTCTAAGGTGGTGTATTTCTCCCAGATAGACCCTAATAGCCTAGGCAGGTGCTGAAGGAAGAATGCACCACCACCCCTGAACAGAGCAGGTGGGAAGTCGTCAGGGCCAGGAGCACGATGACGGTTAAGGAGAGATATACAGTTGGACACTATTGAGGATGAAAAGAATTCCATATTGACAGTCCAGCCTTTTCTTGAAAGAAAGGATTCAGAATTTCAGGTAGAAGGTGGCTAAATGAATTGTCGTTAGAAGTACTGTGTCCAAAAGTACAAACGTTCTCACTTGCTAGATATCAGAGAGCCATTCTAGACCCTGATAGTTTCGCTGACAAGAGGCTTAAACGGTCCAGTCAAGAGAATCAAGGGGGACAGACTGCGGACGCTTCCAGAAATTTTCGCATGTCATTTCTTCGGCCTTCCAGGTCCACCAAGCTTCGCGGTCTGCACGGACACTGTTTTATTTGGCGTGGGATGATTCATTGGATTAGGTTGTGATAGCGGCCAGAAGGAAACTGTAGCCCGGCATCCAGCAAAGCTATGGCCCTATCAGAAATCCAATATTTGGATGAGGTTGGCTTGGTCGTAACGGAAGTAACGGAAGTTCCAGCTGAGTAACAGTGTGGATATCTGCTCCATGAACATCCAGAAATCAACCATCTGACATGCGTTCGAGGAGCCGTTTCTCACAGTTACGTCTGGTCTATGCATCCACGGAATTCTCAAGGGCCAGGCGAGGAGTGCGTCTGAAAAGTGCGGAGAAAAGTAGCGGCGCACAAGTGCACCGTCGGAGACCAGGTAGTATCCCAGGGGTGGCAAGCAGTGATCTGCCCTCGCCTGGTACCTGATGGTGACGTGGCCGACTGGGATTCGAGGCCGGTTCGTTGCTTGGCGCCACACTGTCAGCTGTAATAACCGCATACTCGTCGTACAGTGGTTGTAGCTGCCGCAGTTTCGTTCACCGATGTTTGGGGGGGGGGGTAGGTACAGCGGGCTGTCAAGTGGGGGGTGGAAAACGAGCTATGAATTGAAGGCAATAGCTTGGATGCACGAGCGCCATTGAGGGCGCGACTGGGCCATATCTGACAATGTCTCTAGCCATTGATGTGGCCCGTCCCCATCCGGGAAGACGGCAGTGACCAGCGCAGCCGAGTTTCCTAGTAACTGCTTTCATACTTCGCTGCCAAGTCATTGTTTGACCGCCTCTGGCTCTCTTCCACCCTTCACGTGGTTGTGCGAAAAGAGCCTTTCGAGGAAGTCCGTCGACTGGCATACGCAACACGTGGCCAAGCCAGCGCAACCTGTGCAGTGTGATCAGTTCATCTATCGAGGGTGAGTTATTTCTCCCGAATACCATTCGACGTACTTCAGAATTGCTGATCCGGTGTTCCCACCAGATTCGGGCAATGCTCCGAAGACATCGATGGTCAAACACTGAAAGTCTTTTGACGTCCTCGGCGCGCAGCGGCCAGGTTTCTGATCCATATAGTAATATGGAGCGCACCGCAGCATTGTAAACTCGACCCTTGACAGAGAAGCTGATGTCACGCCTACGCCACAGGTGACGCTTGGCGCCACTGTTCCGTAAACTGGTACTGCAAAGAAATAGTCTGTAATTGGCATCTATCTGAAGCAGAAGATTTCCGTTGTCCCATTTCGGACCAAACAAGAACACTCAACTTGGCCTCAGCAGCGCTTAGTGTACCTACCCAAAAGCTCATGTCGGCAGCCACCATCACTTTATCGGAGCATTTAGCCTGCGGTGAAAGAGCACCTAGAGTGTCATAGAGACTGTCCTTGGCAGATCCGAAGCCACAGTCCGTTGAGGCGTAAGCAAACACAAGAAAAGCGTACAATGGACCTCACTGCCTCCAGCTGCTTTCACAGATGTTGCAAAGCGAACCGCACAGAGGCGACTATCAACAGGTATCCAGTTAAGTGAGGACGGTTCCGCTCGGTCGTCCAACCCAAACCACCCCAGCATATCCAGCCGAGGCGGCCTCCGCACCGTCAGAGGTGCGCAGCCAGAATCTGGAAGAGATCGAGGGGTTAGTCAGTTCAACTACAGTACTTGCACCTTGTGCTTGTATTGGAAAGACAGCATACATCAATTCTGGTTGCGGGTAACATGGTTGAACGTTGGATGGAATATTACTAGATCACCCAGACCTAGACAGAGGGGACTACGAGGATCCTCGAGCAAAACCTTTGACTCAAAAGCCCGATCACAAAGCAGCATTGGAGAATACAAGTGCATCTGTAAAAGAACCCCTAACCTGGACTGTCAGTAGACTGTGTTACACAGACCTATGACAACTGACCAACCTGGTATTGGGGGCCCCATGAGTGTCCCACGGACATCACCTAGTGTTGTTCAATGAGAGGCGCACAAAACGTCACATCACGGTAAGGTCCGAGGTCCTTTTGAAAGATAGTCTTTTTGTAACAGATTCCGTTCGTCCTCTAAGTGCAAACACCATGTTTCGGATCCATAAAGCAGCATGGATCATATTGTTGCAGTGTACTGTTGGCACTTGACAGACACACTGACGTCAAGCAAACATCCTAGAAATCGGAGGTTGGTAGACGTTCAACTTTAACATTCTTTCGGTGCATACCTTCCAAGCCATCCGGAGGAAGCATGAGGACTGAAACACTGTTAGGTTGCCCAAGCCCAGACAACAGCAGCCGATATGCACAGGACCCATTCGAACCATAGACCTTCCGCTCAGTAAGTTCGCGCTTTTGCCACCGAGTTATCTCGAGCAAGAACTACCCTAGTCTATTTAATTCGCAAAGCAATCTAGTCTCCAGCCAGTCCGCCGGAAGTTATACAACCGTTCAGATGAAAAATTCACCCACTAGGTTGACTAGCTGGTTAAGCCCCGGTCACCATGTCAGGATGGCATCTCTCGATTACGAATGAGCTGAATTGATATGCTTGTGTTGAGTCCGTTTCTTCGCTTTACGTCAGCTATTCATCCACATATCTCTGATTCCCCCAAACGAAACCAGTCCATGAAAACCAGGCACAAAGTAAAAATAACAAGGAGACCATTCGAAATATGTGTTAGCCAGCAGAGCCCGTGTGAAATCAAACAGCACAGAAAGTAACAGGGTGCAAACAGCATCCGTCGAAAAACCAGCCTTGGAATTTTTTTGGAGGTCCCCAAACCAGCGGTCATGCAAGTTACTGAGGGTAAATTTACTGAACATCCAAAGTCTACCACCAACTAAGGCAAGTGAAAGTGCAGGCCACTTGGCACTTCCTGAGAATAATGTACATGCTATATCGTAGAATACGTATCTCCAGGCAGTTAGACATGTTTTTCAACACATTAGCGCCGTCAGAGAACACAACGTCACAGAACACAGTCGCAGTTTCAATGTCACACAGCCTTTCGAAGGATGTTGACCAAGGCACAAATAGCACGGAATGTTCGCGAACCTCACGCATCCGTCAAGAGAGATTAGTGAGGTTCAGCCTTGAATCCTGAATCTCTTCCTAGTTTGGCCGTATAGAACCCATAGGATGATAAAACACTCCACTGTTCCACCAACAGACTGACAGGCCATCTTAATGTTCAGGAACAGCGGCCACAATCATGAGACAAACTCCAGCTAAAAAACAGTACCTGCAATTCCGAGAGTCCTTCCGAATGTACATCCTCCCCTGCTACATCTTCGGTGCGCCTGATAGGATATGATAAACAAGAAAGCAACTACACAGCGTTCGTTAGCCAAGAGCCATATACCTCGAAATAGTTTTCATTCTGTCCACAATAGTACGATGTAGGATCAGGGTCCACATGAACTGACAACTTCGGAGGATACAGAAGTCCATGCTGACGGTACAAACTACACGCTGTCAAAAGACTATTGAAAACTTACTGACAAAGTAACGAGCCCACAAGAGTGGTATCGAACTCCAAGCAGTTAGCAAGAATTCGGTAGTCAACATCCGATGGAGTATGCGTGACGGATGAATGAGGAATCACCCAAACAACGAGTGTTCCGGAAATATCAGCTTGTATATAAAATCCCTTAATACTTATAAAAGCCTTCAGATATGATCGCAAAATTCGGAACCTACTTTCCGAATGGCTCGGGTGGCCACAACAAAGTTTAAGAACTCAACACACAGTCTGCGGCTCAAAGCAATGAGTGATGGACTGAATTGTGTGAGTCTAGGAAGCCGAGCGAAAAGAAATATCAGATTGAGACTGTCACTGAGATCGTTCAGAGCATCTTGGCAAGTCGGGTATCTAAAATACGAAGAAAATATAAGGAACGGTCTTAACCCACCTTTCTTTCACAACATGATGTAGGGTATATCTTGGCTTGTTTACACGTATTCTAAACTCTTTATCCTTATCCCTCCTCTCCCGTGCCTTCTTCAACTTCAACTGATAAACGCGTAACCTCCTGAATTTTTCAATCAGCGGTTCATGAGCTAAGAAAGCGATATCCTTTGAGTGATAAAAGACGCGCGGCTGGCTGTTTCCTTTTCCAACCTTTTTTCGGTTGCTGGGTTCAACTGGATAAACTCCCTTCAGAATGCAAAGGCGTCTGAAAATAAGATGTAAAAAGAGGAATAAACCTGAAATTAGGAAGGCTGAGCTGAAGCCTTCTCATGGCCTGTTTTTGAGACAGAAACGCAGCCACCAAACCCTTCTTGTTCTTAAAATCAGTATTAACCACCATTATCCTGAAGCACTAACCTTTTTCTTCAATTTGGTCATGATCACGCTGGAAAATTTTTAGATTGCGCGCGTCACGAGGTTCACCGCTTCAGTGTGCCAGCTGGATCCAGTGTCTTGGGCGCAACAGGGTGAATAAGCACATACACAGGTAACTAGCCACAAACTCGTAGAATCGGATCTTCAAGCATGACGTTATCTTCTCAAGCTCAAAGCATTCAAGAAATAATGCAGAAGTGGACGACAAACTTCCTATGTGGTACTCTAGCCAGAATTTCCAGTGGGTTACAGAGGGACTAGTTCTGTTCATCTTTTCCAAGACACATCTCTAAAGTTGGTCTCTGGCCTTTGATCTGTGGGATTGATACACAGGATCGAGGCTTTTCCCCAAGTTTCCCGGGTCAGTTTTGTTCTTGTCGTTCAGCGGCTGACGTTCACCTGAAAGGCACAAGCGAAAAGGGGTGTGGCACTGCTCTTTATGTTCTCAGCGCGGGGCATTATGCTTGCCAGCGCGAGGCTTCGCATAAACAAGTGTCTAATAGTGCTTTAATCTGTGTTATAGAAGGAGCGTGAACATGCTTCGGAGGAAGGCCATTCCACGCAGCTACTACCCGAAATGAGAAAATATTTTGTCTGATGAATGGATGTGCTCTGAGCTTGAAAATTTTCTTACTGTGTGCCCGCCGTGTGCTTGCTGGTTCAACGGTAAAAAACCTGTTTGCCATGTTTTGTTCAAACAGGGCATATGTAAGAAATAGATCGCCTCAAAGGCGACGGTACTCCAGGGGAAAGAGATCGAGCATCGCGAGACGCGTTTCGTAGTCCACGGATTTGAGGCTGGCGACCATTCTAGTGACGGCCCGCTGGACACGCTCAATGAGGGCGACGTCTTTCGTGCGCCGTGAGTAGACAACTTGGTTATAGTATTCCAGGAGCGGTCTGATGTAGGCCTCATGGAGTGTTTGGAAGTCCATGCTAGTAATACGGGAGAAGGTGCGTCGGGTCATCCGTAAAATGGCTGATGCCTTTTGGGCCGATTTCTCCTCTTGCTGTGGGAGGGACAAGTTTGAGGAGAGCCAGATATCCGAACCCTTTTGGCATCCATCTTCATGATGTTTTCTGGTCCTTTCTCACCATGCATTACAAAGGCCTTCGCTGAGTCTCCTCCAAAAGACATGGACGGGCTTTTCGTCATCCAGAGGAAGGTGCTAGTCCATCGACCACTGCTTTACAGTGTCTACATCCATTTTGAGGGCACTGGTATCGAAGCTCCAAGATTTCAAGTCGTCTGCAAAAAGTAGACATGGGCTTGCAAGAACATCCGGAAGGTCGTTGAAGTAGATCAGAAACAGCAGTGGTCTCCAGACGGAGCCTTGAGGAACTCCAATGGAGACCGGCGCTGGAGTAGTGTAGGTCAAGCCTATTCTCACGCGGAATGATCTGTCTGATGAGAAGTAAAGGATTTTCCTGTGAATCCCGCAAGACTCGAGTTTGTGGAGCAGTGGGACATGTGGGACCCTATCAAATGCTTTTGAGAAATCGGGTAATATGGCATCCGATATGAGTCATTCGTCCTTGGCTTGGGTTAAGCTGTCCGTAAACACGAGCGGTTTGGGAGAAAGCCGTGTTGAGCTGGAGATATCAGGTTGCTGGGAATAAGGCGACCCAGGATAGCTCGTTTCAGAATGCGTTCCATCATCTTGTACGGCACGCTAGTGAGGCCTATAGCCACCATGCGATCGTTGGTCACCAGATTTGTAGATTCGCGTGATAATCGCTTCCTTCCAAACAGGGGGAGGGCGGCCCTCGCCAGGAGACTGACGAAACACCGGGTGTAAATGATTTGCCGGTGTAGACGAGGTTTCCCTCAGGATCCTTGGATGGACCTCGTGCGCCCCAATGCACAGAATGGGTTCATCTTGTGCAAGAGTTAACGAATGTCCTCAACCATTACGACTTAGTCGATGAGAGGCTGCTGGTAATCACTCCTTGACAGGAGTAGATGTGACGAGGACGCTGGGGCTCAATATAGACCTACATAGTGTTCTCCGTATACCCCAGATACCACTGTTGGGTCACTCGTGGGTTCTCCATTCCTGTCCCTCAAGGAGAACGGGGATGGTTGTTTCTGCGGCGATGTCGCATGTAGTTTAACAGTACATCTGTGTTTTTCCTGTTGAGGTCCAATATGTTGACATGTCTTCGTATGTTCTATTGGTGGATTTCTGATTTACATAGGTTCCGAATTTTACGAAATTCCAGCTCATCTTCTGTATCCCCTGTAGCCGACTTTTTGAAGGAAGTTGGGGGCTCTTTTCCAGAAGTCGCCGAATCCTTTCAGGCAGCCTGTGTCCCATCCGACTGCGTACTGGTTTTTTTGGGACCAGCATCGTGTCAGGCTCGTGAACTTTCTGGGCAGTGGCAGAAATCTCGAAACCACGTTAATGGTCCGGGATATCTCGCCCGATAGCGGATGAAATCAAAGGTCAGCATATAGTGTGCGTCATGACCCGCTTGAGCGTCCATTGTTCTTTCGTTGGTACCAACCAAATCCAGAAGGGATGGTAGTTGGCCTGTGCGGTATCTGGTGGATGCAGAGACATGTTGAGTCCAAGCGATCTGTTGAACGACTTCAGTCAGCGCCGCTGCAAAAAGTCCGCCTGATCCGACGTGCTGGAGCTTCATCCAGGAGGCCTTTGAAGCGTTGAATTCACCTACCAGCAGGAGATGAGTGAAGTGGTAGTTGGAGGAGAGTTGCTCATGGGTTCGTGTGAGGAACTGGTTATCTTCAGGGGGACTCGAGAGGCTACGGTATGCCACATCGCGAAGGAGAGAATCGGACCCGTGCATCGGGATTTGGATCCACATTGCATCACAAAAAGTTGCAGGAGTTGTACCGGAGAGGACAATTGGGATGGGCAGGGCTGCGTGTAAGTACAATGCAACCTCACCAGCCCTCCTTCGTTTTGAGTCAGCTCGAAAAACAGAGCAACCGTCTATCGAGATCTTTATGTCAGAGACACGTGGTGTAAGCCAGGTCTCTGTGAGTGCGATTATGGCGGTGGTTCGAGGCAAGCTGACCGTTTAACATCGTCGAGTTTGTTGAAAATATGGAGGCAGTTTGTGGACAAGCATATCAACACTGTCTCTGCTTCAGCGGATAAGATCACATATGGAAGCTGTTTGAGTTAAGGGCATTCACCTCTGTATGCCAACGCTTCCTTGCTGCGAGTTACAGGCACCTAGAGCCGTTTTTTCCAGCACCCTAACCATTGATACGAAAGCAGTTTGAATGCCATGCTTACATGCTTATTTTGTAGATACTTCAGTCAGTAATGTCCTGTTTAACACACCAGAATTTAACAGCGGATCTAATCTGGGTGAAAGGATAGAGACCACTGGGCTGAGCGGATTGCCTTTGCAAAGACGCATTGTAATGAGAGTGTACATCGTGTGTGGGAAGCGCGTTTCAGTAAGACAGTTCTACATGGTGAAATATTTCTGCCGGACTGTGGCGTGGATCACTTGAGAATGAGAGTAAGTGAGTTGTATTTGCTAATGGAAAATAAGCCTGGTTCGGTGTTCCTTGTAAAAGAGATGATAAATGTAAATGAGACGCTGAGACGGCAGCGTTCGGGAGGGATTAGGTTGAGGTATTGCAGCATATCTCAGTGGGCCAGTTGGAGCTAACGTAGAGGTTGGTGGACTTCTGGGAAAAGCTGCCTGAACTAGGGGGATCCCAAAGTCTGCCGGCTTATCAAGGGACATTTACGCCTTTGTAAAGAAGTTGGCCTCTGGTTCGATGGAATACGGGTGCCCACAACATAGTCTAAAGTCGGCTTATTACGTTCAAGAGGCTTAGGAAGTTAGTCCCCGTGTAGCCTGGCAAACTCGGATTTTTGTCTATCCGGAGTGGAAGTAGTAAGGATAGCTGCCTGTCTGTGCTGGTGATTTAAGCTGAACTAATAAAATACATTTAATGGCAGAACGAATGAGCCAAATGCAAACCCGGTCTACTTCCTGGATTACAGTTAATTTGGAGTCAATTGTTTACTCAAACGAACGTATGGTGCGTACAGTTTCCCGTACACAGCGTGATGTAGGAATGTGCATGTGTGGGTTGGAATGATATTAGCAACAGTTATGATTGATTCCGCACCATACGTTTGTTCGCCGCAGTGAATAAACAGCCCCATAAAGGTTAAGCTCAATACAATTATTCTGGTGGCATCGGTTAGCAAAGAGGTGATCGATTCCTGACCTCAAAAATTTAGTTGATTTTGCGCAAGCCCAGGAGTCGCAGTGCCTGTTCCAAAGGAGTAGTATATCTGTGGAAAAGGCGCTTCCGGAGTGGCTGGTGGGGTTTTCGTGGAGGGTNACCCTGCAAGGCGAGACTGTGGAAGGGAGTGGAGCGTAAGGGAAGGCGTCGCTTGTGAAGACGTTGTATGAGTGGGGAGCCATGAAGTCGGCTGCACTGGCAAAATGTACAAGTATTTAATTTTCTTGCGTAGGGACTGCACAATTTTGCTGGTTCATTGATGGATACCGATAGCCGAAGGTGTCCAACCGCCACAGCCTGGGCCGGCTTATCCGAGCATATCCATAGACACTCAACGGAATTTGAGAGCCAACGAATCAACCGTGATGAAATCTGTGGGCATCAGTGTAGAGTAATGAGGGGATGATCGGTTCGACCATTTTGTAGTCCTTACGGCTGGGTTAGTAAACGTACGCAATGCGGATGCACTCGCGTAATTCCAAACACCGGGCCCCTTATTATGCCTTATCGTGGTGCGTGAAGATAGCCCGGACCATTAGGGAGCGTTAGCATATGATGAGGCAGGCTTGAGAAAGCTGCAAAACTAGTCCTCGGTTTTTCTGAGGTTGGAGTAAAGACTCTGGAACGCAGGGCAAGTGATTCAGTTCCTGAGATTTGAGCTGGTTTTTCAAGAAATGACTATAATCATCGGACGGAAACTTGCTGGTGCCTGTGCCTCTAACTCCAACTGAGCAAACAATGTGGGCACCACCGAAATCGCCGGAAAATTTTAAAAAAACTTCGATGAAACTCTTGGCTTAACCAGCGGCAAAAATTTTAGGCAGGCAGACAGTGATGGACGGGTTAAACCACACGGTGTGAGCCGCGGAAGGCCATTCAGTAGCGACTAAATTGTGTTCCTTTTTTAATGAATCCCCCCATCAGCCAGCAGCGACTGATTGACCTGGAATCACGTAGGAATGAATGATCGCTGGGCCCCATGCTGGCGGTAATACACTTTACTGGGAGAGTCTGGTAAACTAGAAGTGGTGTTGTAATCGCAGGTCATTATTGCGTTCACCGAGATGTTAGGATCTGGATGTCCTTCTTGCTTGTAGATAGAGGAATGCCGTTTGATTCCATCGGTGCGTAAATTATCTGCCGGCATCGATGGATGTGTGACCTCAGATATGGTTAGCCTAACCACCTGTGCAGATACTTCCATGGAATTTTCAGCGGGGGCTGGATGAGCTCTGATAAGGGTACGTTGTCATGTAGGTTATGGTTCTCGGCTGAATCGCTTTGTGTTGTGGGAACCTGTAAGGAAAATTCACCGGCAGCGTTCTACGTTTCCGTCGGTATTATTCGCAGTAGAAGAAAAGCTCGACAGAACCAAAAAATGTAAAAAGACTACCAAAGTAGTGTCAAACAGCGGTCAGCTTCAAGTATGCGCCAGGGTCGGGAATACCCTTTTCAGGCCCCGGTTTTACGACCTGGAAGGAGCCTTGTAACATCGAGATTCTCGGGTGAAAATAGAATGGGACATGCGTTGGATGTACACAAAAATACTTTTGCTGTTTGCTTATTCAACGATAATAAGAACACATGCTCAACGACATAGGAAAACTATTTATTCCCGTTCATAGCCCTTAATGGTGTGCGAGGCGAGGAACCAGTTCCTGGAGCGGAAGTGCCAGTAACGGATAGGGTTTCTGCCTAGAGTAAGGTGGCCGCCGCGGTCAAGGGGTGAGATGGCTGTAAAATAATTTGATGATGTCTGGTTAGTGAATATCAGGTTAAATATCAGCTGCGGAATTAGATTGTGGCTTGGAGGAAAAAGCTTCACAGCATGATATATTCGTAGACGGTCCTTCCTAACTGATTCCTAGTACACTGAAATAACAAGCAACGCCCGGTGTTCAGCCGATAGTAAGTGAGACAAGTTTTGGTACTGAATTGTCGTTATCAGGATTGAATGATTAAAAAGAACATACGGTTGGGATGGAGGATCACCTACTCCTAGCTTGGTGGAGAAATGCAAACAGCCCACAAACGTGAGTTACCGATAGATTGTCGGTGCCGTAACAGGGTGAATGGAATCTAGCGACATAGTGCATACATTACCTATTCGATCTCAAGCACGAACGAATTAGTAGACACCCTGGTCTGTTAAAAAGGGATATTTTCCCAGGGTGGGTGGAACTGCAAAAGGTAGGACGTGAAGTGGATAGGATTGTAGTCAGCAAGGCAGCCGTTCTTGAAGGCGAGAATCAGACAGGACCTTGGCGTTCACGTTCACACACCTTGTCCGCGGATCCGCTGCAGCCACTTAGTAACCCGGGGGCGTACCCAGATGTACTTCTGAGGAACAAGCAGTTAAAGATATTATGGCGCGATGGTAAGCCGGGTCAATTGTGGTCAACATAATTTTCGCCATTCCAGATACATCAGTAAAGAATTAACGCCGATCAAGAAGGGGAATCCTGGAAGGTCTTGCGTTGTCCTAAGCCCCAGTCAGGTCCGTGGATTCAGTAGAGGTGTGACGGGCTGTAAGCAATCAGCGTACTATGTTAGGAGGACGAGGAGCCTCGGGCATCTTTGGTTTCCACAATTCTGGGGGTAGAACTGGTTAATACCTGGATAAAAAAAGATGCTTCATCCGTGTTACCATTCGTTTTAAGGTACATCAGAGTGCTCCCTGTTGGAAATTCTGGAGGACTGTCGGTGCCTTGGCAAGATACGGACGCCTGAACTAGATGGCGGGTGGATCAGGCAAAGAGTAGGTTCAACTCGACTAGGGTCCACGCTGCTTCCAGGTGTGTACTCTTTTAAAAACGACTGTAAAGCCGAACCCTTGAAAATGGCGACCACTTGCTATGAGCGTGTTTGGCGCAGTGTTATGGCATAAGGCAATACGTCACAAAATAATAAATAATATACCGGACTGACGCCGATTACCACCATACAGGTGGGGAGAAGACAGATCTTTAAGAATGATCAAGGCACTTGGGCAAAACTGTGCACACACGAAATGCGTTGTAATGACAAAAAGCTGAAAGCTGGTCGGCTCACGACTAGACACGTAAGTAGATAGGGAGCCAAGTTTGCAGAGTTAGACACCCAAAATCAGTCCAGACTCGGCCAAATAGGATGACCCAAAATATGTGGCAGATTTAGCCTTCACTATATGCGGTTATACCAATTCTGGGTAACGGATTAAGCCTACGACCTTGCCTTGTATCAGGAAACAATTAGGAACACAGCGCCCGGGCGATGATAACTGATGGACGGCAGCGTCACCGATGGGCTACATACAAATGGACTAATTTTTTTACAAATTACTGTTGGGGTAATCGCGGCAACTGCATTCGACGCGGTGAATGTATGTTGTACGCACATGTGCTTTGGAAACTATATAAACGTCGCCCCCGAGTGGAAAAATACGATGGACCACTGAAATTCACGGTATTTTGCAATTTGCTTTATTCGTGAAAAGGTAGTTACATAAGAATCTGCAGTGTATGGTGACCCACCTAGACAAACGAATTTTGGCAACAAAACATCCAAATGAGTAATCTGACCTCGGGCACTCATAGACTGATGTGCAGGATCAAGTTTTCGCCTACACTTCCTGGCTAAGACTTTTCTTTCGCTCAACCCCCAAACGAAAATAGGGTGCAGTACCGCCCTTTACGTTGTTAGGGCGGGGCATTAAGTTTGCAAGCGCAAGGACTCATATAAAAAGGCACCTAAAATGATTTGAACTCGATGCAGCGTGAAGCACTGTAGGAGGAAGATTATTCGATGCATGCTCTAGGAGAGTGACGCCTTTCTTACGTCCTGAGTAAACACCTTTTTACTTTTACACCTTTTACTCCACAAAGCATTTGGAAGTTCATGAGAGTGATATGAGAAAGGCGCGCAAACCACCCTTGGACGGCCTATGCTCTTTGAGCCGATTTTATGGTGGAGTGGGGGACGTGTTTGAAGAGAGCGAGATACTTAAATCCTTTTTGGTATCTGTCTTCTTAATGTCCTCTGGTCCATTCTCGCCATGCACGGCGAATGCGTTAACTTAGTCTCTTCCTAATTACATATGAACGCAGCTCCATCATTAATAGTGCCAGTCCAGCAACCACCACATTAGGCGTCCATATTCCTTTTAGGGCGCTGGTCTTAGAATTCCAGGAATTCAAGTCGTCCACAAAGAAGTAGGCGTGAATATGAAAGACTGTTGAAACTGGCCGCAAAATGGATCGCTAAGGAACTCCAGTGTAGACCGGTGCCGAAGAACAGTAGGTTGAGCCTACTTTCGCTCAGAATATTCTGTCCGACAGAAACGCCTTTGCCCGTATGGAATTTCTCCCTGAATCCCATAGGACTTGAGCTGGTTTGGAGGCGGTACGTATGCCAGAAGTCTAAAATATGGGGTCCAATGTGGATTTTTTGTCTCTGACTTGAGTCAGACTGTCCTTACATACGGGGATGTTTGTCACGCAAGAACGGTTGGAGATGAATCCGGGTTGCGCCGGGAATGAGAAGTGGTTGGTGTTGAGATTCTTTAAACTCAACCACCTGAAAATGTTTTCCATCACCTTGCTAGTAAGGTTAATCGGCTTGTAGCTGCTGGGCGATAAGGGGTCGCCATTTTTGGCTCGGCGTTGCAATCGCTTCCTTCAAAGCAGACGGTTGGCTGCTTTCGTTAGGCTTCTGAAAAAATACAGGAGCGAAAGTCTTTGCCAATGTGAGGAGCATCTCCTTCAGGATCCACGTTTGGATCTCGTCTGGCCTCAACGAGCTAAAGAGGTTTGTCTTCCGCAATACTTGATGGACATCCTCCTCCGTAAAAAAACAAGTCAATTGTGGACCAAGGTTGGATGTGATGAGGTTGCTGGAGCGGAATATGGGCCACAATGTTGTTATCTGTAGGCTTCACATACCAGTATTCTTTTTCTCGTGGGTTCCCCGTTTTTGACACTCGAGGAGGAGGCGTTTAGCCTATTTTTTCCGAGGCGGATTTTGTGCTTAAATAGAACAACACTGTTTTCCCGGCTAGGTCTAATATCGTAGCCCGTTTTTGCATGTCCCACTGGGAGATTTCAGACTCACAGCAGGTCCGCATTTTACGAAATGCCGCCTCACGCTTGTCTCTCGTAATTACCCTTTTAAAGAATAATTGGGTCCTCATTTCCAGTAGAGGCCGAAACCTTTTGGATAGGTTTCGGCCCGCTCGAATGCGCGCTGGTTTCCTTGGGACAAACACTACGTCAGCCTCGTAGATTTTCTGGATATTGGTTCTATTTACTTCCTTCCCTGGAACTGGCCCAAGTTGAAGCTCTTCAGTGGAGGTGCGCATTCCTGGTAAGTCTTCACGGCGAAAGTTTCGAATCCATGTTTGAGGTTCTGGGTTCCTGGCTCAGTTATAGACAAAATCGAATGTTAGTACGCAGTGGTCACTATGTCCCAGTGGAACCTTAATTGACGCCGGATCAACGAAGGGTTTTTCATTGTTGATAACCAAATCCAGCAGGGACTGCACTTGGCATGGAGAGGGTCTGGTGGGTGTAGCGGTATGTTGGGCATAAGCGCTGCGTTAAATGCCTTCGGTCAGCTCTGATGCAATATGTTCACCAGACTCGGTGTTCAGGAGGTCCATCCAGGTCTTGGGAGCAATACAGTCAACAGCTAGCAATAGGCGCTTAAGCTGATTACCAGAGGAGATTTGCTCAATAGTTTGTATGAAGAACGGGTCAGCTTCCGGTGGGCTTGAATGGCAACTGCAGACTGAGCCGAGAGGACAAGAATCAGCCCCACGCAGCAAGATTTGAACCCACAGTGTATCACAGAATGTGCAGGAGTGATGTCAGAGAGAACAATCGAGGTAGGCAGGGCCCTAATCTTATCTGCTAGCCACTAAATTTTGGAGTTTGTTGAAATGACTGAGAAAGTTTGTGGGCAAGTACATCAACACTACCTCTGCTGCATCCGAAAGTGGGGAGCAGAGAGTCGTGCCACCAAAGAGGCTGGCAGGCTTAATTGTTCCATGCGGGGTTTAAGTCCACAGTTCCGAAGCATTTTTGCGCGCTTGTCTACGTTCTGCTCCGATACTTCCGAAATCTGCTATTTGTTTTCAGGGGACTTTTGCCCCCTGGGAGACCAGTGTGTGCAAGACCTTTCTAAAACAAAGCCTGTACACTAACTAACTTCACTGAACGGTTCGGTGAA